ATACTACAGCCGCAGCACGTCGAACGCTGAAGTCCGTAGCGAGGGGGTTGTATCTTGGTCGCTGGAAGGAAGAGTCGTAACTTCCTTCGAAAGAAAAAAAAAACTACGGTTGTTGACTTTTCTTGGATTTCGTTTGATCTGCACTATGTATACCCATCTAACCTTCTCGACGACAGCGTTTCGGAGAAAAGAGGAGAATAAAAACTCGGGAAAAAGGTAGGAGGTTGGGAGAATTCACGAAGATGGTCGCTAGGATGGCGAATAGTACAGTGGGGTGGTGTCAAAAGGGCAAATTCCATTTGAGTAGGGGGTATCGTATATTGTGTATTCACCCCCCCCCCCCTCTTCCCAACACCAGAATGTGCCCTGACTGTAACGCTTCCACGTTGCCACGTTGAACTAGTGAGTTCCCCGTACGAATAGCACGCACCGTCACCACCTACGCCGTCACGTTCGTCTTATCGGGTCAATGTGGATCTCCTAGCCAGCACTTGTGGAAAGACCTTTGGCATGATACTTATTGGGTAGGGTAAGATCACCAAGGTTCCTCAGGACTCAATGAATCCATCAATGTCTGAATTAGCTGTTGAGTAAATTAACTGCTAAGCTAGAAATTTTGAAGTGAAATTCCAACTCTACTCACTTTATTCCGTGGTTTCGACCCCACCCCCGTAATAGGCACATTATTGCCAATTTCACTTTGAATTATTGACTTTTTAGTCCTCCTTCGTGAGATTGCTCGCTTTCTGCGATAAACAGTAGCTTCATTCGGTTGCTTCGCTATCAGTTGTCGGCAAAATCAAACGCAACAGCCGATCAATACTTATCGGTTATCAGTTCGCTACCAGTTGGTGTATGTGAGTGTCACGTTTTTGAGTGAATAGTGCAAAACATATATTTGGCAACTTTAAGGCAACATATAAAATTACAATCGATGTAATAATCAATATGTACACACATAACAACAACGAAATATCGTCTTTACAAGAAAAGTAATTAGCTAGTAATCAATCAAATATTCCAAAAATATTATTTTGAAATATAGCAAATGCACAAATAATACCTAATTTCACGACCTGATCAAAGTGTAATTCAATTAATAGCTAAGATATGAAATAGACCAGATATGACAAGAGATGAGAATTTGGCTTATGTATGAGATTTCTAGGATTTCTTGTGCTTATCACGACGATCCTTGGCACGCCTGAAATCAATAAATTAAATGTTCATGTGCTTTTTCTGAACGATAGCGAAAAATTAGGTTGGATAGCACAACCAGTTTGGTCGGGATACGCCGCGCATTCACCTTGTCTCGAAAAACCCCATTTGTTAAGCGCTCTTTTTACTTCTTCAGCGAATTATGTGATTGTCGAACAGCGTTGTTAGCCCACCCAGATAACTAAGAAGAGCCAGACCTGTTCAGAACTTGAGTCCATTATCGCGATAGGGGAACCTCATATTCATATGGCAATTCCAAACCACTTAACGTTGCTTAAGAAGTCACAAATCGTAGCAAAAAAGTTCGTAGCTCTTCAGTTAAGAAAAAGGGGTGGTGTCGGGGCGATATCTGGACCATCAGAAAGCATCACAACGGGGGAGGAGAACGTACGAAGCGCATAAGGTTCGATGATGAGCTAAGCCTTCGCGCGAACCACCAGGACTGTTGTTCAAGCCCCTCATAGTTTGAGTTGTGCTTAGGCTTGCTCATAAGGTTGAAACAAAAGAGCTTTCAATGCTAACAGAACCCCTTTTGGCTACTAGGAACTTCACTGATATCAGGTGCAGAAACAGGGATATGACAAGCGCTGGCAACCCCGACCAATTGATTTTACGAATTTCAGGCTGATTCGCCACTACAGGTTGGTGATGACAGGTCCCTGTTGATCATAATTTTTTCTGCTCGAATAGAAGGCGGTCCCGCTTCCTCGTTGGTTTTTCTTGGTCGTAAAACAGGGCGCGGCGTGATTAAAGAACCCCCAATGATGGAGTTATAATTTATTCACTTTGGAGAGGAAGTCGTTATTCGGCTTGACTCTCCCCCATCCCTCTCCTACTTTGAGAAGTAGAGGTAAGGATTTAGGTGGTGGTGAACATTAAGACTATAAGTTCGAAGGATGCGGTGCTCGAGGCGGGAGGTGGGAAGGGGTGGCATGTTAGAGAACTAATTCTCTCGAATACACGATGGGCCCTGTTTGCAAACTCACTGGGTACATTAAACCTGATCTAATCTGCCAAATCCAAACGATCACAACATTCCGGCAAATTAGCCCGGAAAAAATGCTATTTTTGTTTCGGGCCATTCCATCAACATAAGTGAACTCATCATTCAAAATCTAGGCCTTATTTGTGATTTCCTGAAACGGATTCAGAAAAGATTGACCACAGGAGGCATTCAACAGTATATTGAGACTTTCTTGAGCGTCAAGCTTCGTTTTGGTCGATAACGACAGGAACATCCATGGATGGGTCAAAAATACTCAGAGCGGGCATCAACTACGTGATGAAGGGAAGAAACACTCTAGAAAGCATACTGAACTAGGCTACTGTGCAGTATTTCCAGCATGGCTCCAGTACAAACCTGATTAGTACTATGCTTCTAGGAAGCATGAGAATAAAGATTATTCTAAAGATCCCATCTTTATCCCTGGAGACGTGATTTTGTGTCCTCACAATTTTCCCACACACTGCGATCTCAGCGAGCGGCATCTGTTCACGTCGTCGTGTATGTGCGATGTGAGGTTTACGGCGCCTCGCCTTCTGGCCAACGTGGCGGTCTCGTCGTTGTCTGCGGCCTCGTTTCAGAAGCGCCGTTTGTTTATGGAAGGCGTTCGCTGGCGGAGGACGTGAGGTCAGTCGTAAATTTCCGTGTGGAGATGTGGCACCGCCTATTCACCGACCCTCAGACCCGCCCTATGCCTTACAGTACGCCGACGCGACAGCATGAACAATTATCTGCTCGTAAAAATCCAGCGATTTCAAGTTCAATCGTGTCTCCGAGTTCGTAGAGGAAACGTTTTATGGGTTGTTCATGAACAAAGCGATCGGTTAAGGTCGATGGTGACGGGGAAAGTACGTCCTGTCTGGGAGCAATTAATCGATAATGCCTGAGATCCTAGACAAATTATAAAAAGAGCAGATAAAGCTTTTCCAGCTTATCAAGGGGATTCAGAACTTCGAAACTAATCAGACCAGAGCACTTCGACGATTGCTTTCGGGTGCCCTTGATTTCCAGGCAGTAACTCCTATGGGGGGGGGTGGTTGAGGAAGTGCGGGAAGAAGGGGTAGCTAGCTTCTCTTCTCGTCAAAGCACCCTGCTCCAAATAACTCCAGTGCCCTTTACCTTGCCTGTTCGAGCGAAATCGTTTCCCGTTTCCTTGGATTGAAAACCTAGTCTAAAAATATCGTAGGATTCAGCATGGGGAGGGGGTAACAACAGAGCATCTAACTTACAACTTTCTAACTTGTTAGACCTGCTTTCCTGAGGAAATTGACAATTCACAGGAGAGCAGTGAATTCGGTCAAGCATTCAGGAATTATACATGGAGCATGGAAACCCGTGAAGAAAACGAGGACCTTCTCAGGAACTGGACTGTCAAAACAACCAGCGGAGCGGCTAAGTACGACTGCAACTAGCTGGTGCAACTAAAGGCTAATCCATAGGTCTCACCTACTTACTGTACTTTTCACCAGTTCACATAACCAGTGCGGCGACTTGAAAGATCATGACAGGGTCGATGAGTTATGATAATGACGCAATGTAACTCCAACGCAACTTTGCGACACTCTCAATGAGGTCGACCAGGACAACGGCGACAAATTAGACTCCCTGACAATCGTCACCTCATACGATCCACTCAGAACTCACCGATTTTGGAACCAGATCTTTATTTGACGCTCGGTGAGGTTCAACATCGTGGAAAGCTCGGCTTTACGTTCGGACGTCACAAACGTACTCGTACAGAACTCCTGAAAATTTGCTCGTTACGGTACTTCATCTTAACCTATGTTGTAATATGCTCTTACTTTTTCAAGTTCAAGCCGTTGATAGTCGGAGTACACCATGCGATATTTGTCAGATGTCCGCACTCGTACATCTGAAACTACCGTAATCAACCAACAGTTCGAAAAAAATGCTGTCCTCAACAGTTGTCGCTTCCATTGCGCCAGAGAATCGCGCAACTTCGACAGTTGCTTCCACTAGCAAGAACTACCGTAAGCCGACCATCTTAAACAACACCCAAAGTGAACCGATTGATATACTATAGGATAGTGTCGGAGTTGAATTTTTTTCAGATTTCGGGATTTTTAGGTTTTTCTAAGGTTTAGCCAATTGGGTTTCATTGAGCTACCAGTGATTAGATAAATCAGATCGTCGAACCTAACCCCTACTATTTTTTCACTAAAGTTTCAGCTAGGTTTCACCTTCCCACCTCACTGCCCGCCTTCCCACCTCACTGCATTCTTAAAGGGGTACACAACCTGCTCAAGCTGTTGGGTTCATACTTTTCGCGCTGAAACGTCCAACCCATATGAAGTTTGTTCTATAGTCCTACTCAACTATTCATGGATGGTCTCGATATTTTACTTTATTTGAGCACACCTTCAGTGTATGGAAATCAG